CTCAAAACTTATCAAAAAAATGGTCTCTTCCCTCCTTTAATGTAGCACTAGAATATATAAGTAAATCTGGTGAACATACACTGCATATGATTTACTATTTGTGTGCTTTTACGACGGTGTCATACATAGCCTTATTCCTAAAGTAAAAACAAAAAAAGTTGAATAAAGCTGCACTCTGTAATTCTTTTTTTTATTATTATCATTTAAATCTTTCCAAAGATATAGCAGTAATGTAAGTAAACCTTCTCTAGGACTCACAAAAGAGCACATTTGGACTAGGTCAATGCTTTAAGTATTTAGCACTTAAATACTAAGTATTTAACTTTCCAGCCCTTGAATACATCATATTCCTCAAATTCAGGTCAAAACACGGTATCAGCATCTTCTAAAGAGCTGAAAGAGGCCTAGAAATTGTCAAATCCAAATTTTTACTCAAAAAGGCAGTCCTCTCAATAGCAATTGACAGTCATCCAGTTTGTTTGGACATCTTTGTTGATGGAGTCCTTCATGTAACAGTATTGTGGGCCAGCACCTTGTTATACAGAACCCAAATGTGACTCATCCAACTTCCACCTGCTGGGTTGAGACTTGCCCTCTCAGGTCCCTCCTACATTTGAAGCAGCTGTCATGTCTCCCCTTAAGTTGTCCAGTAATTATCTCTTCTTCGAGGTCCACATCTCATCACTTCTAAGATGCACATTCTTCCCATGTATGACATCCTTGAAATTGGTATGCCAGTTATGTAATGCATGGTTTATCATAGTTTAATTGAGCTCCTTCTTTCTTCCTTAGTAGTACGCAGAATGGTGTACTTTACAATGGTTGGCAATTAGTTTTGCTAAAATACAGTAATTATCCCGCTTCAACACTTTTTCAGTAAACGGAACATTCATGGTTATCCGGTCCAACTCCTTACCTTATGCACAGAACACTGTCCAGAGTCTCTTCTTGGTTATGTTCTGAGGTTGAATCTAATGCCTTACAAAGCACCTCATTCCCAAATCTTAATTACCTCACTTCTAATACTATACCAAAATCTTTTTCTCTCATCAGTCTGAGTTCTGTTCTTCAGTCACACAGGATCTTTACTTACAACTCTTGAATTTGAAACCTGAAGACAGATACCATGTTTCTAGAGTTTATTCTCTAATGTAAACATTCTTACTTCATGGTTTTGGTTTTTGGGTTTTTTTTGGTACATTTTAAATTTAATGTAAAATGAAGTACTTCATGACGCTATGCTAAAGACCAGATACAATAATGCATGTCAAACATGTAGTATATTGCTTGGCGGCTAGACGGCATGCCACATTCTATTCTCCTGCCTTCCTCACTGATAGCAGCTCTTAAAATACAGCAGACTTCCTACCTTGCTCTGAGCACTACACTTTAAAAATTTTTTTTAATGTTTTATTTTTGAGAGAGAGAGAGAGAGGGAGGGAGGGAGGGAGGGAGGGAGAAGCAGAGAGAGAGGGTGACACAGAATCCAAAGCAGGCTCCACGCTCTGAGCTATCAGCCCAGAGCCCGACACGGGGCTCAAACTCGAACTCCGGGACCATGACCTGAGTTGAAGCTGGATGCTTAAGGGATGGAGCCACCCAGGCGCCCTATGAGCACTATTCTTAAAGTAGCTGAAAATTACATCAGTATTTTTGGAACCAGTTACAATTTACATTGATCTACATACATATAAGATATGTTGCATTCCACCATCCTTTACTTTTTTTAGCAACCAAAGTGCAAAAGCAATTATCTTGACTCAATGTATCCTATTTTACGCAATTTAACACACAAAATTACTGGGTTAGATTTAGATCCCAATTTTGACTTGCATTGTGTTTATTTGCTTCATCTCCTAGATCTGTCATGTATTCATAATGTGATCCAATTCACTGGCAATGCTAGTGGCAAGGAAACAGCCTTTTCACATGCTATTAGGACCTAGCTTTTAGAAAGGCATTCAGAGAAGTCTGGCTTTTTATCCACAGACTGTCTTAATGGAACCAATTAGGCAGTATTTCTAGGTCTTCTTTTTTAACTACACAAACTTAGTTAAGAGAACATTAAATATGAACATACCTTTTATGTATGTATGTGCACATTTAGGTTTTTAGCAACTTTCTGCAAAATTGATGCTAGTAAGCCAATCTAAGTTAAATAAATGTGCCCTTCTTTGCAGGCATGCTCAGATGCCACATATTTTACAAGCACGAGGTGTAACAGGATGCAAGATCTGTTTCTGAATGAAGGATTGAGAGGAAGGGTCAATTAGAAAGAGTGGAGAGGGAAAAATTTGAAAGTTTTGGAAGTTAATTGAAAATGCTTTAGAAAGAATTCTTTTGAAAATGAAATTACAGCAAAAAGATAGTAAATTATTTCAAAGCCCAATGCTTTAATTTGTACATTTTATTTTCAAACTGAAATATCAATTTATACCATTCAACCAACATGTATTTATCAAGCACCTGTGGTGTCCCAAGTTCAGTGGCAAAACGGAAAAGACAAGTAAGTGGTTGGCTTAATCTTATACTGTAAGAATTCAAATATACTTTCAGTTCTTAAAATTTTTTATATCTAAGGAAAACTTTCTGCAGTGAAAAAAAATCCCTGAAAATGGAGTTTTATCATATAAATTATAGTAGGACCACAAGAAGCATAAAATAGATATATGAAACTAAATAGGTGAAAGAATTTTCTTTTGCAACTAAATAGCTTTTTTCTCCCAGAGCCAATTATAGTATAATTACAAAAATGATTTAACAACGTACACATCTATGTCACTAGTTATATAGGGAAAATTTAACAGAATTAAACCTATGAAAGAAAATGTGAAATATTAGTTCAGGCCAACTTCTGTACATGTATAACCCACAAGTTATAAAACCAAAGAATGTAACAGTGTGTTATGTTAAAGAGTTTAATATAGTACTTTAAAGATTTCAAATAGATTTTTTAAACTTGGATTTGAAGTCAAGAGCACGGTAATTTCAGATATTAACAAGTTATAAAAAGTTGGTTTACATGCAAGAGTTTTCTTATTTTGATGATTTAGGGTAAAAAGAGCTTAGAAAACTGGCAAAGTGCGCATGTAAAACTTTCTATACGGCCAAGACAACAAACCACTTGATAGGAGCTGTTTTGCTTTTCTGAGGCATTCACAAAAGTCCCAATCATGATCACAGGGACACGCTACAGTTATGTTTATACTCACAGAAATAAAGATCCCCTACCCTCCACTCCCCCCCCACCCTTTGTTTTTAACCTGTTTCTCATGGTTATGTAGGAAAAGTTACATTTTACAAAGTCAATTATTATGAAAAAATGTAATGCCTTTTTGAAATAAGAAATCAATTTCTAGGATTTGACTCCTGTTTATGTCAAATATGATTTGAGAAGGTTTTGTGCACAACAGTTAAAACTACAGTGATGTAAGTGCCGTCTTTCCTACAGAGGAGATGCTTTGGTTTAAATCTGAAAGATTAAAAAATCCTGGTATTTTTACGTCAGTTTCTCCATATCTCAAAATACATAGAAAAAGGTAAATCTTAAGTCATTTTATATTCCTGATACACAAACACGGCAATGTCATAAATGTTTCATTTTCAAACATGATTTGGTAAATGACAATAAACTTTCACTCTTCATAGAAAAATAGGTTAAAAATGAAAATTTAGAGAATCAAAATTCACTGCCTTTTTTACTATCTCTAGTGTCTGTAGCTGCAGTCTTCAGACATTTTTAAAAACAGTATTTGTCTTTAGATGGAAAAGAATCCATCAATTTGTAAATATGAAATATCCAAACTGAAGGTAAAGTCTACCTCACTCCCTTTTGGCTTACCTTAATTTGCATATTACTTCTTAAAGGTAAATCTCAAAGGTCTATCAAGACATTTCTCCTAAATTTCTCCCAAAAGTATTTTGCCTGGTCCCACAAGTGTTCAGGAAACTTTATCTCTAATGCAGCCGTTAACTCTTTTAAAAAATAGTTTCTGTTTTGAACTTGGTTAATAACTACAAATACATCTGCATTTTTAAGCTACAAGTAAAATGGTATATGGTGCCATCAAATTACTTGTCAAAAGCTGAAAAAAAAGACTACATTTTAAATTGTTTAGTCACGCCATTCAGTTAGATATTTGTAAAACTTGAGGGTTTTGGGGGCAGGGGGTCTATTTTTCATGTTGAAGAAATAATTTCACAATTTCAAATCAAAGTCAACACTGCAGTGAGGAGAGCTTTTCTACTTTATTACAAAGAGAAGAAGCCTTTATGTGGTCAGAAAATACAAGATTGATCTTTTTTTCTCTTCCTATGAAACGCTGCTGTTCAAACAGCCAGAGTGAATTGTCTCAGTTCACTTCGTTAAGTCCCATCACATTCACTTGGGTATGGATGTCCTTGGCTGCTGAAAATCTGGCCCTTTAGTGCACAGGGCGACAAAGTCCCCTGACCAGCAGTTCCAGAATGTCCCATTTTCATATATTGCATCCATGCACACCTCCTAAAAATGAGGTACAGCAGGGCAAACATTTTCCAAAATAGATGTCATATATATAATATATACACATTCGTACATACATACCTTTATTCATGTGATGTCCAAAAATTTAAAAAAAATGTACACATTTATTACAAAATCGTAACAAAGACTGGACAGTGTTTTGCTCATTCTGGAAAGATGAAGCTCAGTAATAACACAACCCTGGAAACCATCCAGAGATTGTGGCAATATCTTTCTTCTAAACAGTCAGATATTCTTGCGTTAAGCTTGGCGAAACTGCCTTTCAAAAACAGAAGGGGAAGTAAAATGAAGGAAGCAGACCTTGCTCATCTTTCCAAATGAAATACGAGAAGGATCTTCACATAAAAATGCACAAACATTTGTTATTTTATTACCAATAGTGCTACAATGAACAATGCAAATTTTGTGGTCTAATTTTGTGGAGTCTTTTGTGGGTTTTTTTTTTTTTTTTACATTTTAGAAACTAAATGGTAAACTTCTGTCAGTGTACTTGCTTGTCTTTATAGACTCAAGTCTGTCTGCTGGCAAAAAAGAAAATAAATGAAAAAAATTCAGACCCTGCTCGAACTAGAGAAAAACAAAGTATAAATTTAGTTGTTGGGCAGCACATAATTAGTAAGGCAGGACCTCAAATGGTGACCCTTTGCATAAGCCAATTGCCAGATCCTCAAGGAATTAAAACCAGGGTGCCTGAGCCACATCAGTTCTGCAGTTATGTCGAGTATTGTGCTGAGACAGCCATACCCCAAGAAAAGGGAAGTCTTTGTTTAGAAGGCTTGCTGAGCAGGGTTGTAGTTGAAGGTGGATGGCAGGTGAGGCCGCTCTTCTAATTTGTCGTATTCCAGATGAAACTCCTATAAAACCAAATTCAAGAATTTAGATGATTTCCTCTCCCTCTGATCTCAGATTTTTGTCAAAATATATTTTACTAGATAAAATACCTACATGTATGAGAATAAACACAGACACAGATGTGCCAACTCTTTTTCCTACTGAGTAAAATAGAGCTTGAAGAAAAAGTAATGTGCTGTAGTTTCTATCTGATAAGTACAAAAATACAGCCTTTCTGTGTGAAAGACTACTCATGAACATCTATTTTATAACCACTGAAACTCCAAGCATTTTTTTGTTGAAAAATAAAAGCTTGAGCAGCAATTACTGTGTGGCCAATAAAAAGCACTGAAAATTACTGGATATTTAAAATAAAGCCAACCTTCAATGAAGTATAAAACTGAAAAATTTGTTTTTCCTTGAGAAAAGAAATGATTTTCCAATTTGTAATTATTATACTTTAGGAAAAAAAAAACAAACATAAAGTTATTCTAACCTCATTAAAATCTGGGGAAAACAATGAACTTGTAACTTGCACATCTCCAGACTTCCCATTTCAAACCCAAAGCACTGATAAGATGTAGGTGCCATTGAAAACTATACCACGATTTTGATGTAGGCACATCTCAAGACAAACTATATAGCTCATTTTAATTAAACTTTCAAAATACATTAACTTCATGAATTTTAAAATTTAAGAATGATGAAGTAATTCCATGACACTTCCTAAGATTAAGAGAGATGCAGAAAATAATTGTGTATATTAAAAAAAACAAAACATACCTTTGCAAATCCAAAAAGCAAGAGGTTCTAAAAGTACTAATTCTATAATTTGAGTTCAATTATAGCACAAACTAAATCAATCCCATTTTAAAAATTATGAACCTTAATATATCTTATGTATTAAAGAAAGCCAGCGAGTAAAGTTAGCACTATGGGTTAACATATTTTACCATACCTATCTTGTTTCAAATGGATTCTAAAATGGATGTTTCCATTATTAAATTAAAATGAAAACCTAGACCATAATGATTAAACTCTAAGATACCAAACCATGTATTTACAATTTAAGAATATTAAATTAACAATTGAAAGCTTAGTATGTGCCCAAACCAGAGACACAGCTAAGTTTACTGTAATCTTTCTGATAACTCTATAAATATCATTATCTTCACTTTGCACCCTGAAGAAATGAGGCTCACAAGCAACCTGACCATATCACATAGGAAGTGGCAGATCTAGGATTCGAATCCAGACCATGACTTTCTGGTGTTAACACATTTTTAATAGTTTTAGCCCAAGATCCAAATAGATTTACTTCATTACACCCCCCGTGCAGAAATGTTGAAAACATTCAGCCTACTGACAGAAGTTTATAAAGAAGGGACCCTGCAATGACTTTAAACTAAAATGGTTCACCTATAAATAATAGGTGACCTGTAATAAATATGTAGGTTTATGGTAAACCTATAAATAGGGCCTGACAGAGTAACTAAGACACACAGGCTGCCTGCTTATCATTAAAACTAGCAAACTTCAGGGGCGCCTGGGTGGCGCAGTCGGTTAAGCGTCCGACTTCAGCCAGGTCACGATCTCACGGTCCGTGAGTTCGAGCCCCGCGTCAGGCTCTGGGCTGATGGCTCGGAGCCTGGAGCCTGTTTCCGATTCTGTGTCTCCCTCTCTCTCTGCCCCTCCTGTTCATGCTCTGTCTCTGTCTGTCCCATAAATAAATAAAAACGTTGAAAAAACTAGCAAACTTCAGAGCCACCATTGCAATCACCACAGCCCCCTGATGTGTAAGCACCTCTCCCTCCCTCCCTCTCTCTCTCCCTCTCCCGATGTTTTAAAAACAAATTTACTGCCTGGCTTAAGAAGAATACCAAATTAGTGAAGAAAATGTCTTCTTCTTGTATCATTCTTTAGAAATTAAAATCGGCAATTTAGTTCCAAAATACACGTAGTTGCAGGGTAAAAAGTCTATTTGTAACTGTAACAAATCATAAAGTTACAGAAGTTAAACCTCGTTCAGTGGTCCTGTCCTTGTCATTGTACACTGGTGAACTACAAAGTATTATTAGAATTTAAACTATAACTTCCACCAATGCACCTATTTTCCACCCTATGTATTAAAAGGTCAGTTTAAACTCAGGGAGCATAAACACTTTAATGGAATTTAAAAACTCATATAGCAGAGATTCAGAAATTAAACAGGTCAAATTTTGCCTTTTTTTTTTTTAATCTTTGTTTTGGTCTTCTATGTATTTTTATTCTTCCGAAAATACAGAAGTCTTACAATATATACTGGTGTCTCTTTGTTCCCCAACTTTAATTGTTGGTAACATCTCTTTCATACTGTTGCTCCATGTACACACACAACACATACCCACGTGGGTGTCTAACCAGCAGGGACAGGGCTGTTGTGCACACCACCACCTACCGCCTAGGATGCCCCTGGCAGGTGTGTAATGAATGGCTGATATGAAAACACAAGTTTTTTTTTTCATTTGTTTTAGGAATAAAACACTTAATTTTTGACATATTCAAAGATTATGTATTATTAGAACTATGTATTTGCCTTAAACGAAAAGATGTTTAAATTAGTTTAATGATTTAAAAAGCTAGACAGACTTATCTAGATACTTTAAAACAACTTAGTTAAATCTGAGTTTTTCTATTAATAAAATCAGGCTACATATTCTCAAAAGGTTATTGTAAAGTAGAATGGAAATATATGCACTGGATTCAGACCATCAAATGAAATTATTACAAATGCATTAATGTCATCACTGATCGAATTACATAGAGAAACATACACTGCAGGAATGTTTTCTCAAATTCTCAAAAATGTCAGCTTGTCTTAACTAAGATAAATCCTCTACTTAAATTTAGGAAGTTGCCAACTATCTTAAGTACACATATTAGAAATAATCTTTACTACTTTGAAGGAAAAGTATGTATTTCCGATTAAAATATAAAGATGATATACTAATACTAATGTGTACCAGTGAAGTTAATGAAAAAAAAAATCACATGTTATATCAGGCTATGGTATGATAAATTCTAAGCATTAGAATCCTATTCAGTGTTGGACCCACAAGGTGAAGTCAGGCTGAAAGAATCCTTCAATTAAAAAAAAATTTTTTTAATGTTTATTCAATTTTGAGAAAGACAGAGCACAAGTGGGTGAGGGGCAGAGAGAGGGAGACACAGAATCTGAGGCAGGCTCCAGGCTCTGAGCTGTCAGCACAGAGCCCAATGTGGGGCTCGAACTCACGAAACAAGAGATCATGACCTGAGCCAAAGTTGGATGCCCAACCGACTGAGCCACCGAGGCACCCCTTCAATTTTTAAATCTTTAGTTTGAGAAAGGTGTTAATAATGGAGCAGCCTCTATCACCTAAAGATTCAGTGGATGAAATTATTTAAAAAATTCTACTCATTAAGATTATATATACTATCTGAATGACCACTATTTTTAAATTAGTGAGATACTAAATAATTCTAGTTAAATTACATAGGACAGACCACATAGCCTGCTGTCAAGATTAATTAAAAGGGGAGAATATACACAGTATCAAAAATTTGTATGTAACATTATTGACATACAACAAATACTTTAAATAAATAAGGGGTTGGATCCTAGAACTCAGAGTCACAGAATTTTTAGGGGTAAGAAATACTTCTGATTTAAATCATCAATTCTTTCAATTCTTACAATTCTTCAATTCCCTGGAAATATGATTTGCAAAAAGAGAAAGAACTGCATACAAGACCTATCAATACTTTTCAAAATATGGTAACATCAAGCTATCACTTGTAATACTAATTCATACTGCAGGTTTCTTAACAATGAGTTGAAGTTGTTTAATAATGCATGTTCTTTACCTATGAGTAGTAAACCATACCCACGTTTACAGGTGGGGACTTTGAGGTTAACTTGAGATATGGCATTTTAAGAGATTTTCTGTGGTTGATAAACTCTCATAAATGGAACTAAATGTCTTAATTCCTAAACATTTTCTGAGAAAACATTGAAAGCTTCTTTAAAACAAAAAACCAAAAGCCATTGTGAAAAGTTTATTCTGTGAATACAACTTAAAACTGTTTTAAGTTCATGATTCTGTATTTTAATATGACAGAAGAAGTGAGCTATGTATTAATACTTAGTAGAAACCAGTATTTCTGCTTGCTTTCATCACTATGGAAATAGTTTTGTTGAAAAGTGTCCATGCCAGTGGCCAGCAATCACCTCAAGAGAGATTTTTTAAAGGAAGTTTAATGATACTTCTCAAATTTTATTTTCCAACTTCAGAGCTAAAATTTTTAAAGGTAAAGGTTAAGACTAAAGCTCAACTGTAGAAGTCAGATAAAGCTGGGTAAAATTGTTATTTTATATAGGCACACTACACACGTCTCTCTCTCTCTCTCTCTCTCTCTCTCTCTCTCTCTCTCTCTCTCACACACACACACACACACACACACACACACACACACACTTTTCTTTAAAATGGCATTTACCTGACTGGGGAATTAATTGTTTTATGGGAAAATAAAAGGGGCCTGTTAATGTTTAAGTTGCTTCTGACTAATTTTGTGGCAAGTGCTTAGTTCTGCAAGCTGAACTTTTACACATAAGTTGATCTGTCATATATACTGAACTAAAATTTAAGTAAAATGACATATCCATCTACTGCAAACATCCATTCCTTTTTGTATATTTGTCTGGAATAATGGTACTGAACAAAAAGCTTCAAATGGAATAGAGAAAACTTCAGGTATTTACTAATGGAATCTTTCCCCCCTCTAAAGATACATTTCTCTCTCCTGTAGAATCAACTGACAGAGAAGTTCTCAAAGTACAGCTTCAGACAAAGACCAGCAAAATCATGGGCATCACCTGGGAACTCGTTAGAAATGCAAATCCTCAGGTCCCATCTACAGACTTATTAAATCAGAAACAATGGAGGTATTGGCTCAGCAACTTGTTAATAAGGCTGCCAAGTAATTGTGATGCAAGCTAAAGTTTGAGAATCACTTACCTGACCTAACAACAGTTACTATTTTTCCATCTTTGGAAGAATAGTAATAAGCTGTAAGAACAATGATGATAAAAACTGTAACAAACTACCACAGGTAGTCCCATATATCTCATGTCCAATATACGCCAAGCATTGTCCTTAGTGTGTATGTGTGCGCGCGCGTGTGTGTGTGTGCGCGTAATCTCATTTAATCTTCATGACACTCTAGAAGCAAATATGATTTCAATTTAAAAGATAAGGAATCAGGCATGGAAAAGAAACTTGTATATGGTCAAAGCATAACTAGCAGAAATAGGAGTCAAATTCAAATCTATGATACAAAGGATCTAGCTTTCTACTATACTGTACTTCTTAACAAGTAACATATACAATGTCTCTTGTATTTTGTAATGAAGGTCATTATTGCTACTTAAAAGGTTAGGTCACGGATCTTCCTTTTGAATCAAGATATGCATATCAAATAGAACTGTTAAAATAACTTGAATACAGTGTATGGTGATATATGGACTTGGTCTGAGAAGTAATAACACTCACCACTGACAAACACCCAAAATTAATAATAATAAAAAAAGATTTAACCTCTCATATGTGTGTCTTGTTTGGTGTTTTAAGTTGAGCTCATCTTGTTTCTTTTGTCAAGATTTGTATGAAATATTGCGAAGTAAAACTCTTGTGATAAATATCTGGTAAGCATTTTACCCTGTCTTCTTAAAATGTCTTACCTTCTTATCAATTTAGTGAGGCTGACTCAAAAGAAAAAAAAAGCCCAAACCAACAACTAAAGAATCCTCCAATGAACTGTCAAGAAATACTTTTCTTCTGTTTAAATTTATTGAGGGGGCGCCTGGGTGGCGCAGTCGGTTAAGCGTCCGACTTCAGCCAGGTCACGATCTCGCGGTCCGTGAGTTCGAGCCCCGCGTCGGGCTCTGGGCTGATGGCTCAGAGCCTGGAGCCTGTTTCCGATTCTGTGTCTCCCTCTCTCTCTGCCCCTCCCCCGTTCATGCTCTGTCTCTCTCTGTCGCAAAAATAAACGTTGAAAAAAAAATTAAAAAAAAAATAAATAAATAAATAAATAAATTTATTGAGAAAAAACAAAACTAAATAGTTTTTAATCCTATGAATCATCAGTGGAAAAGGCATTCAAGAAATCCTGGAGTTATGAAATCAGATAATGTCAGTTATATTCTCTACTAGGTAGACTAAGTACATACATGAGATACTCCATACATGTGAAATATGCTATGACACTGATGAAAATTTTGCACATGGAACAGTCAGAAAGGTGTTTTTGAGAGGAAAAGTTGCAAACCAAAACAACCAACTTTTTCCACTTCTTCCCTCCAACACTCAGCACACTAGTCATAGGAACAATCATGGTTAATGCTTACAATTTTCTTTCTTTATATCATTTGTAAATAAAAACTCAAGCATCTTTCCTGCAATGAGTGTAAGTGTTTTAAAAAGCTTATTATCTGTTTATATACCAGTTTTAGGAAAATCTCCTACCTGCTCAAAGTAATAATAATATAAGAATACATGACTGGGACTGCAAGAGGGTTATCTTTATTTTACAACTGAGTAGACACAAAAATATCTCAAATGTTATCACGGCTTGTGAAAAGCCGTGTAAAGCAATCCTTTTCCTAACTATGGGTGAAAGGAGTTGTTTCCAGACACTTGCCTAGTTTAAATCAAGCCAAGAAGGTGAAGATGACAAAGACTTATTTAGCAAGCATGTGGCACATTATTGGAATGGATGTCTTGGTACATATAAACAGATAAAAGAGGATACTTCTTTTTAAAATCTAGATTTATACATTTACACATGGAAAAAAATATACCTTAGCTACTTTCCTCCAGTTAAGACAGTCAAAGAAGTAATATGTTCCCCTCTCATATGTATTGGTTTTCATTGTTGGCTCCATGCCTGGTGCCCTGGTAATCCATACTCGTTCTTCTTTGTGGTATCTCCAATCACGGTTAAAACTTCAATTTTTAAGAGAAAAAGACAATTAATTCTTTCCTGTGGCTCACATCAAACATTTTCTACATTTTGTAAAATTTTACTCAGAAAATAGTTTCACCTAAAATACATAAATATAGATGCTTCTTTATCCTGACTTTGTTATCAAATACAACCCTAGTGAAATATAGGAAAATAATTTTAATTTGTCCAGAAAACACACTCTTTAATTAACATACACATCTTTATTTAACTAAAGAAATTTTTTCATGCAAACAAAATGAGATGTTAAAAGCTCTATGAGCAATGTGATAAAAACTTAGACCAAATAAAGATACATTGTGTTCCAGGAACTTCACTCCTTTCTTGTTCTTCTTAACATTCAACAGAACTTGAGACATCCATTAAAACAAACAAAAATCCCAACTACTGTATTATTTTGTAAGGAACTAAATACAGTCTATTTAACTATCCAAATTCACATAATTTTGTAACTATGTTGGAAACAGAATATCCATTCAAAAAACTCTTCATGAATGTATTACTTTTATTTTTTATTTAAATTTCATTGATCCTAAATTCTCAAAAGCCAAAAGGATATCCACTAGAATTCATGCAAGAATCAATGAGGATTTATATCACTTGTAAACTGGGGAAGTAACATCCAAAGGAGGTAAATGAGCCACAAAAAACATCTCCGGTAGAACAAACCTCCATATAAACAAATACCTTCCTACTAATACAGTGAGGTAATTTTTCAACATAAAAGAGATATGAGACAGAACTGCCAGTAATGGATATATGAATGACTAAATGAATTTATTTACTTATGAATAAATTAAAAGGTAACAGGTAACAATTTCTATGTTACAAAAAATGAGGGGAAAACATGGGAGAAAACAAATTCTCAATAGAAAAATAAAAAAACAATTTATTATCAACACAGTGAATTTTACATTTTAAGTATCTGATCCAAGGTCATTTATAGAAATGTTATTAGGAATATTATAAAATATTTAAATCTGTAAAAAATTAGGTCTCTCAATCACAGCATCCTGATTTTCTTTTTGTAATCTCTATCCCCAACATGGGGCTTGAACTCAGGACCCTGAGATCAAGAGCCACTTGCTCCATCGACTGAGCCAGCCAGGTGCCCCATAACATCATGAATTTTAACTAACAATTCACTCAAGTAAACATGATTATTATAATAGTCCATTGGTAACAAAATGTTACCAATTGGACTTATGAGAAATGACACAAAATTTTTATTCTTAGAGCATCAGGCAAAAACAGAAATGCTCAGGAAAAAAGATGTATCCAATGGGCCAACAACTTAACATTAATTTATTTAAGTTGGCCAACAAGCTTCTGATAATGAATGTGGACTTTATCAATACTTCAGAACACACAAGAAATATGCACAGTGCCTTGCCCATATAATACTCAACAGATAAATGATGAAATTCATTGTCAAATGAAATTCAATTGTCATTCAATTCATTGTCTTATGTGGTTCCATAAGAAGATGAGCCACAGTTAGGAAGTGACCAGATCTTATACTTCACATATTTATAAAAATCAGATTCACCAAATTCATGAATGAAGTCAATCCTGTCTTCTTACAAATTTAGGATTATTTAAATCTGAAATAATTCCTTTTATGTATACAATGACTATGAAACCATAGCAATATAAACTTTCAATCTAAATTAACTTTATTTTACTAAATGTAAAAACAAATTATTTCTTGATGGAAATATTTCTGCTTTAAAAACAAAAGACAGACTATAGCCATCATTAAAAAAAAAAAAGTTTTCAGAATAAACAAGATCCACTATAATACAAAAGTGTTTGAAAATACTTTGAACATACAGCTCTACTGCAGCTAAAAGTTGTAATACGTCTCCTCCATTCATGTAATAGAGATAGAAGAGAAGGTCTTCTCCGTATCGGCCAAGTTTTATTGCAGCCAGCTGGAAAAGAGAAATCAATTATTCTGAAGTGTAAAATAAGTTTGAAAACCCTAACATTGCTATCACGATAGTAAAAATAACAAGATAAACAAACCCTCTTCTCTGTAGTAGATAACTGTTATTACGTGATTTCATAGGTAGTTATAACCCTAAGGGGGAGTTTTATCATTTAAATAACTAGAGTCATTTAACAACTATTTCTGGTACATCTGTTTATATAATAATAAAATAAAACCTATATAAAAACTTCTCAGCAAGACCAAATGCTGTTTTACACGAGGGTTTATTAATACCCAACACAGTAACAATAGTGGAACATGATGCTCAGAGATGCAGGAGTTATATTCAAGTCCTGGTTCCACTATTTACTAATATGACCCATGTCCAAGTTATTTAAGGTCTCTGAACTTCCACATAAAATGGGGAAATGAGACCTACAAGGTTACTAAGAATGTAAGTAAAAATTGATAAAGTGCCTGTATACGAATGCACCTTAAAGAGGACCTGATACATAGGAAACCTGTAAGAAATGTTAGCTCAGTCTGTATCTGACAGTGATTCACAAATTGGTTAGTATTTTTACCAAATCACATATGGTAAATACAAAAATCATAAAGTGATAGCTCTTTATTTTGTTTAAATGGATGACTAAAAGATGATTGCTTCACATGTCCCTCCATAAAGCAGAAACATTAACCGCCAACCAAACTCTAATAAAACACTGAGTTTAATAGACTCCAACTCTTGTGTTAGGAAAAGCCTTTATTCTCACCAAAATGAAAACACTTTTCTCTCTTCACCTAATCCTGCATCTAAATGTTTATTTAACTGTTATACATTCTTAGAATATAATTTTTCTCTCCATATTATCCCCATTCAAGCAGCAGTTTTTAATGTGACAAATTCTCTCAAGTCAGTATTTCTTAAATTGCTGTAAGAAAAGGCTTTGGAACCCTTAGGTAATTGGAGCAAAAAAGCCCTATGATAGATGTAGCAGAAAAATCACACGATCCACAAAGAGAAAAAATAAGCTCTATCCCATACTTCTTGTCTTCCATCTATTCAAGTATTGAGACATATTGAGAAATATCTCTTTACTTGCCTGTCCACAAAATCAACATCCATTTGACCATGCAATTGCATGGTACAGACACAGAACACTTGTGTGTGTGTGTGTGGTGTGTGTGTACACACACACACACATATATATATTTTATATTTATGTATAAATATATAATGCAATACATATTTATATACATATGTGTAACACGTAAGTTTTAATAAATCGTATCTTTCCTCAATGCCAAAATCTAGGGATACAATTTCTAACAGAAATGAACATTTTAGTTCTTTCCCCTCAACAAGAGTATCTACCATTTTCTTTTTTTGATTAAAAAAAAAAGTTAAAACTTCAATCTGTTAATAGTTATTTTATAGCTAGAATTTTAGGTAATTAAAAAAAATTTTAAAGCCAATGCCATAGCTTTTAAATGTACACACTGTTCCACTGAAAACACTGTAATATTTGTAAAAATGTATTTCTTATTGATACAAGGGCATAAAATGAGAATATCAGAAAGAAATTCATCAAATTTTCCAAATAGTTGATTCTCATCAACCATGGTTATAACCTGTTATTAAGAACTCTGAGAAATATTTGACCAAACCTCCCACTGTTTTGTTTTTAAAACATATTCTTTAAATATAACCCAGGATTCTCATCAAAACATTAAAATAGAAATAAAACTGTTATAATTGAATTGGCAACATGAAAGCATACCCCTGAGACCACTGCTAATTATTTCAAAAGACTTTATGCTATCTAAACTGAAAAACAGTGCCTGGAAAATAGATACATTCATGCTGACTGAGGAGAATAATAAACTACACTCACCTTATCCCTAATGTGAATGTTCGTTAAGTACTCAGATGGAACATGGAAGTCTGGATAATAAAATGAAAAAAGCCTTATTAACTGATTCTCAGTTTAAAAAATATTTTTAAAAGGTCTGAACACAAATAGATTCTCCTACCTATGTCTTGAGGTCGACAAGGTGAAGATGCCCAGGGTGATGCAAATTTGGGGTAAAGATTTCTGAATAAGAGGGAAAAAAAAAAAACCACTCTGAAATCCAAAGTAGAATCAAAGAATTTCTAATTTTATTCAGGAAATAAAAAAAAAAATGACTTCAAAAGTAAAATGAGTATCTTTACTTCTAATTTCGTTTCATGTGTTTACTACAACTTACACAGCAGAAAAATGAAACACAGTTAAATAGCTGTATATATACTCAGTGTCTATATTAAGTTACAAGTTATATATTCACATATATATGTAACTTCAACTCAGAATGCTTTAAATTCATTAATACCATGCCCCCAGTAAAATTACTTTCCCATTTACATGGCCAGAAAAAAATCAGTAATTATTAAAAGCAAAAGTTCAAATTCACCAAATATTTACTAAGTGCCTATTACATGCCTGACACTGTTGCAGGTGCTTGAGATACATCAGCGAACAAAACAAAGATAACTGACAACATAAAATTTACTTTCTGGTTAGGATGGTGGATTAGGAGGAGGTGCATAATAAATAATATTCCGTGTTGGTGGAGGGGTAAGGAGGGGTATCAGTTGCATTAAATTAGGTAGCCAGCTTAGGTTCCATTTAGAAGATAGGATAGGATTTGAACAAAAATTCGAAAGATGTGAGGGGGGTCAGCCATATTCATGACCTGGCAGAAGACTATTCTAGTCTGAGGGAACTGCTAGAGCCAATTAAGCAACTTAGCAAAACTAAGGTGGACATATGACTGACATGTCTGAGGTACAGCCAAGCCAGTGAAGGTCAATGAAACTGGAACAGAGTGAACAAAGGGAGAAGCTGTTGAGGTGGTGGCAGGAGAGAGACAGATCATGCCTGTGGAGATGAGTAGGCCTGTAAAGATTTTAGGTTTTTAATCATAAGGAAACCACAGACCTTTACCGGGCACTGAGCAAAGGATTAACTTATTCAGAAAGGATTGTTCTGGCTGCTACATAAAGAAGAGGTTGTGAGGGGCACACAGAGCATCAGGGATACCTGGGGACTGCCTGATGGTATAATCTAGGAAAGAAAGGATGGTGATTCAAACCAGGGTGCTGGCAGTTAAAAGCAATGAGAAGCATGACGCAATGAATCCATTAAGTCAAATGTTGCTGACAGGTCAAGTTTCTACAAGAGACCACTGAATTTGATGACCTCAATGAGAGCAGATTTAGTGAAGGGGTGAGGGAGCAAAATCCTAACTGAAATGGGTTTAACAGAGAATGGGAGAAGACAAATGGAAGATAAAAAATGGCTTTTTAAAAGAGTTTTGCTCTTCACAAAGTAAGAATAAAGAAATAAAGGCAGTAATTCATGGAAGAGATTAGACAAAAAGAATGTACTTTATTAACATAGAGGAAGTAATAGCATTACTTGTACGCTGACGGAAATGATCCAACAATGTGCAAAAATCGTTAGAGCTATGTCCTTGAGTTTTCAAGAGAGACCTTAAGTAGAAAGCATGGATCAGCAGGGTGAAAGACAAGAATAAGGTGGGTGCAGATGGTAGCAGATAGTTAGATCTGGTGGTAGGACTATGCTGACATTCTCTTCTGATTACTTCCAGCTTTCTTAGGAAAGTAGAAATTAAAAAAGCAAGGTCTTACTACTACACCTGAAACTAGTATTACACTGTAAGTTAACTCACTGGAATTTAAATAAAAACTCAGGAAAGAAAAAAAAAAAAAGCAAGGTCTCCATCTGAGAGTAAGGACTGGGAAAAAGGTAATTAGATGTTAGGAGAAACGAGTGTGGAATAGTTGCATAGGAGAGCAAAAGAATGAAGGGACCAGGCACGCCACTTACAATTATGGGTGGCAGAATTATGAGCCCGCTTTTGAGGTTCCTAGAAGTGAGGACTAGGCAGTGAAGTTGTGTGCTTTTCTTTAACCAGTTCAATAGCACAGATCAAGAATGGAATAACTGAAGTATAACCAGGGTTGTAGTTTTTGCCATGAAATCATGACAAAGTAAGAGAGGGGCAAAGTAGTCAAGCGTGTATGTAAAAAGCCATTACGAAAGACTAAAGAATTTAACTGGGTAAGAAGAAAGTGAAATCTTCTCAGGCGAAGAGAAGGATGTTGAAGAACACTAAAAGGTAGAAGAATCAATAGACTGAAGATCCCAAGGAGTCAAATGATTATTGGAGTCAGTGCTAGAGGGAGAAAGACGGAAAACCGGAAGTGGCATGGGAGCAGAGACTTAAAATTACAGGGAAACTGAAGTTACTGATAATGCCAAGGTCAAAGGGATAACTTTGTAAGTAGCTGAGATATGGTGGAGGGTTAAGACTTTTGGAGGTGAGAAACTCAAGGAGCCAAGATCTCAGGATTCGGGAAGGATCAAATATGTGTATTTTGAAACTGCCAAATTATAAGGGAATGATACTGTCAAATGACAGTGATCCAGGAGCTAACATGAGAGGGAATGACCCAAAGAGTCAAGAGAGAACAGCAACGAGTGGCTGCAGGTAATAGACTGTGATCACATGAAATTAAAAACTGGAAATCCACAAGGAAGTATTATACACAAATGTGGAAGAAAAGAAAAAAACTTACTCAGGAGAGTTCAGATTGAGGCCTAATGTTGTTAAGTCACTTCCTAATGCAAGATGTACCATTCCTGGGTCTGTCTCTGCTGCCCTGATAAATGTTAACAGGCCAATCATTCCAAATTGGTCCGTCACCATCCCTTGAGGAATGTTAGTAACTCGACCTGGATAAGAAGAACATAGTAATTGTATCTTTAAGGAAAAAGTAAAGAAACGAATTCTATAATATCTTTGACATATTTTATAGAGTCCCACCATCAGGTAACACCTGGATCCCTTTTTTCTGCTGGTTATTATTTTGCGTTGTTGAACTTTTATCTCCAGGGAATTTGGGTCCATCTGTACTTGAAGTTGTCTTGCCAGATGTATTCAAATTCTAACATGGAAAAAATTAAATGTGACATTAAAATTTGTTAAGTGCAAAAACTGAGTACACGTATTAGTTACCTTCTATTCATTCTTTATTATATTTAAATTGGTAGTATATTATTACCTGTTTTTCAAGTTCTACATGAAACTTTTTGTTTCCACAACTGTCCCATGGTTTACAAATAAATCCTGTATTTTACACATTTGGGTATTTAAAGGACAAAAATATATGAAAGATATTCTTATATATCTCAGATCTTCAGTCACAGAAAAATAATCTTTATCTCAGAACTATATGCTTTGGGATATACTTCAAGTTTCACTCTTCAACACTTTAATTTAGAAGAGAAATATTACAGTACATTGCCTATGATATCACCATAAAAACCTCCAGGATAAGTTAGAATATATAAACTTTTAAAATTCATATTTAATTCTTACCCAGTAATCTTCTTTATCAACTATTTTAACAATACACACAAACTCCCATCACAAAAAAAAAAAAAAAAGCTATTTTCAGTGAAATGTGGAAGAAATAAAACACATTCGTTAAGTCAGAAAGAGGAAGCTGAGTTGGCTGAATCAACACAGGAATAAAAATGTGTATAAAGATTCTTCAAGGAGAAAACTTACTCAAGAAAAACACAGCTCCTTAGAAGGCTATAATATCAAACTTCATGGGATCCAGCTGACAGGGACTACAATAAAAGTCTAAATTAACTCTGAGAAGTTCAACAGAAATTTGCAAACCTATACGAAATAGGAAAAAAATAGGCTATCTTCTAAGTTATAAAGGTTTTCCACATTCTTCAGAAGTTAGATTATTACAGATATTCAAGATAAACAATTTTGTAACAGTACTTAGTAAGTCCTTAATATAGTCTATAAAACTGTTAATACAAGAGAAGTCTGAAGGGAAAAAACTACATTACTCACACACATAATTCTCAGTTACTTACAGATTTACTGTCATCATTACTTGACGTTGGATCTTTATAGCTGGAACCAGGTAATGCTGGAAAATCTTCATTGTGTATTGAGAAGTCCTGGGATTGCTCATTTGCTGGTTTTGTTACCATTCCCACTATGTAATGAAAATAATCCAGAAAATTCTAATTCATATTTATGCTATTTTACTACAAATTATAAAAAAACTAAAGTTTCCTCATACTAACATACCAAAAGGATTTTTTATTACACTATGAAAGCACACTTCAAAAAATTAGTATTCAGGATAATAATGAAGAACTATATTTTTATATACTGATTAATAACTCAATATACAAAATAATACAAGGGAAGTAAGTGGTAATCCTATAATTCTAAATCTATGTCATATATAGATGCTTAAAAACAATTTGATATTGGTAATAGTTATTAAAATTTTTGGTTTAAAGCTTGACTTAAATATTTGACTAGCTATTATAAACACCAGTTAATTGTCAAATACAAATGAACAAAATAAATTTTAAAAGAACATGTCAGTATTCTACTTGAAAGTGACTTACAGAGTGAGCAAATTGCAATCAATTATAAAACAACTCCATATTATTTCAGATTTTCTTGGACTCCATGTAATAGATGTAAAACATGCAAGAACTGGGAAGTAATCCTCCCACTATACTTGGCATTAGTCAGGCCCTTATTGGAGAACAATATCCAGTTTGGGGCTCCACAATTCAAGAACGATATGGAGAAACTAGAGTTGGTCCAAGGAGAGCAACGGGAATGATTAAAGGGATGAAAAAATGGACCTATGAGGAAAGGTTAAAAACATTAGAGTCTGAACTGAGAATCAAGTAGCTAGGTACTCAACTTCCAGGGCAGATCATTTTTTTTGTTATTTTTGGAAGACTAATTTGGAAACTTTAGAATACTAACAATATATACTCTCCCTTCTCCACACACTGTTATTTATATTCATATTCTGAAAGGCACAGAAATCCTTCTTGGATGAAAATGGGAGAAACCATTATCTTAAAAAAGTTATGAACTGATGCTTCTAAGTTCATTGTTTCTGCTACTGATCTCTATCAGATTCTCCCAAAAGGAAACAACTATGTGCAATGGGTAAAGAGAATATGGCTACATTGTTGTTACATAATTTTCACGTCTAAGTTGTTATTGCACACATTTCATGCCCTTCCTTTTCATTTAGCCAAATCTCTTAATTATTAGAGACAGTGAGAAAGGGCTTTAATTGTGACCAAGAGTCTACATGAACTATCCATGACCCTATGAGCAGTTTTCAACAGAAGGCAATTGTTTCTCCCATGGGACATGTGTCAATGTCTAGAGACACCTATGGTTGTCAAAACGATGGTGGGGAGAGGTACTATTGGCATCAAGTTGGCAGAGGCCAGGGATGTTGCTATAACATTCTCTAATGCACAGAACAGCCCCCCACCACCCTCCATTTACAAAGAATTATCTGACCCAAATGTCAGTAGTGTGGAGGTTGAGAAACTGGCTTAGGAAAAATATTCCATGTAAGGTCAGTCATTACTAATCACCAGGAATGTAGGAATGTATTCTTCAAAAATGTGTGATGAATTAAGAAGAGAAAAGGCACCTTAATCATTATGTTACACTTAAGGCAGAAATGCCAGAAGAAAACCTCTAAATACCAATGAACATTTCCTTTTGGGTTTCTGTACAAACTGTTTCCCATCTAACTTTGCTATCATGGTATTCTGAAAGGAAAATGCACTTTGCATGTATCAGCTTTGACGAAATTATGCTACTCTGATTAGAAAACATATTGTGTGTGTGTGTGTGTGTGTGTGTGTGTGTGTGTGTGTGTACAGACATGAACATGCATATGTACACAAATGTGTATGTCTGTGTGTGTGTGTGCACAATGGAAAAGTTTCCATTACCCATTATTAGAAAGCTTAATTACCATAAGGAGCTCTTCCAGCCAAGGGGTTTATTAATGGAGTTGGGTTACCACTTCCTTCTCTTCTGTTTCGGTCTGCTAACGCTGGAAAATCTGAAAGGTCCAATCCTGTCACATTTTCGCTTCCATCTAAATAATGAGAAAGAACATTATTGGTTCTACAAACATTTTATTTTATTTTAAATAAGCTCTCGGCCCAATATGGGGCTTGCACTCACAACCCAGAGATCAAGAGCCACATACTCTACTGACTGAGCCAGCCAGGCATTCTGTACAAACATTTTAAAGGGATTATTAAACACCAACCATCGTATAATTTGAAATGACAGTACCTTCTTCCTAAAGACACAGCACTGTACTAAGTATGTATAAGTGTACATTAAACACTTGTGGACTTATTTCATGCAAAAGAATTTCATGAATAATTCAGCAAACAATATGTAGCTAACATAATAAAAACCCCAAATCCTAGAGACTTAAGATAGACAATAAGGAGTTAATGTGGTACATTATTTCCCCTGTGAAGGAGGGTACTCTAAAGTTATAGCTCTCTTGTTAGCTAACAAGAGAGAGACCGTTGTGATGTAACTGTTCTTTTCATTATATCCAAAAGCAGAGGTAGTATCTGGATGCTTGGAGCTTTAGTTACACACAGGTGTGATAATGACAGTGCCTCTTGCAAATGACCAGAATCATATCTGAAACACAGGCAGTGGGAGCAAAAACTCTAAGGACGTCTGTCCTGTGATCTACTTGTCCCATATACACGTATGTGTGTGCAAGTGTGTGTGTGTCTGTTTCTGCAGTTGGGGAGTATAGCCAGGTGGGGTAGACACAATATAAATAGGGTTCCCATGTCTGGCAAGAGTTTGGGAAGCATGGGAATATGATGCAAAGCCCAGAAGATTATATTACCTATTGCACAGTAGGCGCTCAATAAATATATTAAATGAATAAAATTAATTTTTGTTCATTTTAAATGAAAAAGATCAGCCTGAAATTTAACCTAATATTTCTACTTTGCCTATTTTTTAAAGATTTTATTTTTAAGTAATCTCTACACCCAACATGGGGCTCAAACTCATAACCCCAAGATCAAGACTTGCATGCTCTACTAACTGAGCCAGGTAGGGGCCCCTCTATGTTGCCAATTTTAATCATCCCCTTAATTTCTTCTCAACTTTTATTATTCTATTATTCTTACAATCTTATATGCTTAATTTTTCAAGAAGTTAATTTTCTACCTTAGTTTTAGCCTGAACTATAGGGTTTTTTTAAAAACTTTGTTTCATCTGATGTTTTCATGTTTTATATAGCATTTTTAATTTATGTGGCCTTTCAGTTAATTTTGAATTTTTCTCCAAGTTTCATAATTAGAAAAATCTCAGAAACTAATTACCTCAAGATTACTTTGTTGACAGAAAAACAACACACTCTCATAACAATCCAACTCAGGTTATAATTTAAAATTATGAAGAGTAAATGATAAAATCGTATCTACTGTTTCTAAACAAACAGCAATTTATTAATTTTTAATTAAAAAAAGATACTACTACATAAAAAGACCAACAGGACAAATTTATAGTGTTTCAATCTACAAAAGTTATCTTTCTTGAATTATTCTATTATAGTTAGTTACATAGTTATAAATGAACCAAAAACTTTGAATATGTATTAACTTTCAATACACATCTTCAGGTCCTCTAAGATGGAATTTAAAATTGCCATGCTATCTGAGAATTTTAACCTAAAAAATACTTAATAAACCCCGAAATTTGAATTTTTAGGTAAAGACTTGGAGACAATTTTCCTAAAAATAGTTAAAGTTTAGTTAAAACTGAATTTTAAAAATAATTTTAAAATTTATGGAAGTGTGGAAAAGTGTAATTCAGAATATAAGATGGCATTGTCAGACACACTGTTACTTTATGGTCCATTCAGGAAAAAAAAATAGCTTGCCAATTAAACTATGATACATAGTCTGATTTCAGAGATAATAAAATATGAAAAAATTGGAACATTTCAGAAACAGTGGGAATATGGTACTTCATATCATTTTTAACACCTTGAACATAAAACTATAAGTTTTAAATGCTACAATTTGGAATTTTAAAGTCTAATTTGATCAATCTACGCTGCTACACATATAATACCACATAAAATTAAAAGCTCATAGTCACAAATGACATTTCATTACTAAATCTTGTCTGATGCTTCCACATATGCTTCATTTCACTGATCATTCTTTCCCTTCCACTTCCTTCACATATATTTCTCTCTGAATGATCAATTCATTTTTGCTCCTATGACCGTAACAACGTCCTTTATTTCTTTTCTCTGGAAAGGGTCTGGAGGCAAGGATGGAAGAGGGTGAAATCTGAAGCAGAATAGCAATTAAGCCTCCTGTTCTCTTCTCTCTGAAGCAGTTGATAAAAGAAAGAAACCAATGGACTGCAGGAATTCAAAATCAGATTTCTCTGTAATTAAATTCTGAACTTTACATATAAAACTGGATAAAAAATCCAAGGGTTAAATGCCAAAATTAGTATTATTAAAATTATTAAGAAAAAGTTAAGTGCTCCAATAAAATTTTAAAGGTTTCTTCAATCTGGGTCCCTATAACCAGAATGGTGTAACACTCAACCTAAATTAGACTGTAGTGACAGGACTGAGGATAGGAAACGCTCTTGAAGCAAAAAAAATTCTGAAGCATAAATACAGACTAGGGTAATGTTCAGGGGCTTTCTCTAGGTATTAAGGAAATAATTCTGAAGTTATAACACTATGCTATTACCACATCAAGTGAAAAAATATATTTAACTATCTCAACTATTCACTTGAATTAAACCCTATTCCTGTCAAATTCTCACTAAATTAAATTCTACCAGTTTAACACAAAAATCTAGTAATATTTTAAGACCAGTATGTTGAATTGCTTCATATTTCAAAGATCTACCATATTTTTTATAGGGTACTACCTCCAGAATAAGCTTACCTGTTCCATTAAAAATGTTACTTGATAAGGAGTTATTCATTCCAAATGCCTGATTCCTGTTCATTCCAAATCCAGACATACTGGGTACATAGAAAATAATTTTAGATATACAGTAAGAGAACACTAACTTCCAGATGAAGAAAAACAGAAGTGTATACTTTTGACCTCCTCATATAAAACAACAATATGTTTAAAAACAAACACTACTTTCATTTTTCTGAGTTTAACCTTTATTTGAAAATGTTCCTGAAGTCCCTCCATGAATAACTGAGAACCATAATGTCTTAAACAGATGAATTAAAAAACAAAAAGCAAAGAATGTACACATAAGTCTGGAGGAAAACAGAGATTAAGGGCACTATTTGATGTGCTTGGAGAACCAACTTACTGGATACACTGGTAGAAGTAACTGATCTCAAAAACATGTAGTTTAGTGTAAAACTATTGTTCCTGAATACTTGTTCTCCTTCCACTACTGGTAAAGTGTGCCATTATTGCTTTCCATAAAAGATCTTCTTTCATACAACACAGTCTTTCCCAACTAGAATATAAACTCCTCAGAGACAGGGTCTGTGTCATAGTCATCTTTGCATCCTCTGCCTTTAGTCTTCAGGAGGATACACAACAGGCACTCAATAAAGGTTTAGTTTACCTGAATTAAGCGATGTTTTTCTTTAACTGAATTTAGTGCTCTAAAACACATCATTCTTATCTAAATATAGTTTATCTTTCAGCTACTTAAAAGAAAAACCAAATCTCTCCATAGTGCCCTCCATTCTAAAGCAGTGCACAATTGGTACGTGGTAAATAGTTACAAACGCCTACCTTTTTTGCACAAGCCTAAACATGAGAAAACAAAAACAAGTCTGAACTTAAGGCAAGGCCAGAAGTAATTAAGAATGTCAAAAAGAGCTGTTAATGCAAATTCTACAATGAAAGTAGGCATCTTTACCATCAAATAATCTGATAAAAGAGTGTATCAGCGTTATGAGTAGGGTTAAAGTGTTTGAAGATGACAGGGTTTTTTGTTTTTGTTTTTTCACTTAAATCTGTAAAACTAACTATGGCCAAACAGTGTTTTCACAAAATCTGGAGCTGATCAAACAATACTCTAGAGAAGAGAAGGAAAGCCATTAAAAATACTTGTTTCATAGCAAGTGAGCAATGTTGGTGACCTAGGTACCTTCACACATTGAATAAGTACTAAGGGATGGAGACATTCTGTAACAAATACAATTTACCAAAACTAGTAAGCAGGGTTTTAGAAACCCATGTTTCATTGACAATTTATAAGCAATGTATTTTTAAAAAACAATTAAAATGTGAAAAAATATGGAAAGGCAAAAATATAAACATACATTTAATGAACAATACTGTAAGAAAAGATGTGATAAAGCCCAAGAAGTGTATGATTAGGAAGCTATCAAGGAGATAAGAATTTTGAATAACCCTTTATGATAATAATTTTTTAAAAAAAGTAAAAGCAGTAAAATTATTAAGAGAAATACTCATAAATCTAAATAAAAGAACTGGAGTTTATGGGATGAAGATCAAACAGGAAATGTGTTAATAACCTATTTGAATCCAGATTTTACAAGTAACAGATAAAGTGAATTAAATGGGTAAGATGATAGCAAATAGGTCAAGATCTTTTTCCTCCCACAGTTCCCCATTTTTTAAAAAAAATGGCAGACTTAAATGCTATTTTTCCAAGATACAAAGCCTTGTACTGTAGTCATCACTCTCATATAAATTATCTGAACAGCTTAAAAATCTTAACAAGATGGACAACTGGTCTTCATAATGTCATTATTATCTGCATAGTAAACATGCAAATGGACAGTACAAAAAGGTGTATAAAGCACACAGCTCATCTTGTTTTAAACCCCAGGACATGACACTATTTTCAAATATTGTAGATGTAGTCTTAAAAAGTCTCTGGTTACTAAGTCTCCAAACCACCAAACTGAGTTTTAGTTGAAAAGGTACTGAACCAAAGCATAAGTGAAGCAAGGCAGTAATAGTCAAACATATCCCTGGTACTATTCATAAGTCTGGAACTCTTACCACATTAAGTGGCCAGCCTCATTTAACAGAGGAAGGACCTATCAATAAAAATTTGCCTGGTGGCAACTTAAGAACAATTCTTTTCTAACAACAACAAAAAGCTTTAATGTGCTTTCTACAATCAAACTGATTTTCAAAAGAACATGCCTTTAGTTTGGGGAGGATTAAAGTTGTAATGTGTAACAGAAAGAGAATCTTTGGTCATAAAAATACGATGAAACATACTTATGAGACAGAAGCCAAGACTCAAGAAACAGAATGTTGAATACGAAAAGGCAAATCTGAAAACACCCAGAAAGACAATTATACACATTATCAATAAACATCTTACCTGTTCACAGTAAAAGGCTGTCGAGAAGGCTGCTGCTTTGGCATACATATTATGCTTGGCGAGCTTCTGTTGGGGCTACCTAACCCTGAACTGCTCATGCTATTTGTCCTGCTAGGAATTCCAATGCCCTGACCAACCTGGGAGTGGTTCATCATATTCCTAGGATTCATAGGCAAAATACCCCTGAAAAAGAAGTCCATTATACTAAATAAGCTCTCTACAATCACTCATTAAAATTCTCTGTAAATAATCAATCAGCCTGACCCCAGAACCTCAAATACACTTTCAAATTACACTGCTAATTTTCATTACTTATTTTGTCTGGTCATTCTAGCTCTTTGAAAAGAAAAGTAAAACCAACAAGAAATTGGGTAAATTACGGCAGAACTAATGTAACGTGATATTTGTTTTACTCACTAGAACAATGAATGTGTGTTGAGGGAGCAATAATCAGAATTATCTGAGGGATGATTTTAAATTACACATCCTCTTTTGAGGAAGAGAGCTGGCTTCTGATAAAGGTCCCCAGGTGGTGATTAACCCTTGATACCCACCCAGCTGACAACCAGTATGCTAGATGCAGGATAAGAACATCTTACACTATACTTATCAATTTGCAATGAAATAAAAGGAGCATAGGGTATTAACTTTCTTTTCCTCAGTGAAAGGCACTGAACCAGAAAAATCAAATAATTAGTTATCTTATTAAAAACTAGAAAGTTGCTTACTCTACAAAGATACATTTTGAGAAATATTCTGGTCCATCAATAAATACCTGCTTGGAGATGGAGGCGTGTGAAGTGACATTGTTGGTACCCCTGTTGTTGGCGTGACGTGGCTCGGTAACTGAGTGCCTTGTGATAAGCTGCGATTTAACTGAGGGGTATTGTTGCTCATCCCCCTCATTGGAAGGCCTAGTGCACCTATTAAAAAAATTCAGAAGAAGGAAATTCATTGCCATCAGGAATGAAATTGTTATCCATCTTCTGGAGTTGGCAATTTAAAACATTTTTAAATGACCTAACATGTAATAGAATATGCAAGTTTTAAATGGATATATTCAATTCACTCCAAATGGAATCTGATTTTAACAAAAAGGTTCTAGTCTGAAATTTAATATTATGAATGGATATCGCCTTCATATTTGTATCTTTCATATTTCTATTTTATAATAGACTACGTCTGCCAAAGGTTTTAACAAATTAGATGACTTATGTCTCAATAAAAACATTTTGTACAAATATGGCTTTAAGAAATTTGCAGTTTTATGTTTTTATGTTTTAAATCAAAACTGAGGAACACAGACATTTAACCCCACCTTACTGATGTAGCTTTAATTTTTCTATGAGCCTTTTAAAACACATTTAAGAAATCTCTACTATTTATACATACATACTTCTCAACATTACAATTTTTACAAATCTAACATAAAATGTCAGCAACTGTTAAAAAAAAAAAAAAAAAACTCAAGCTGATATAAGAGACAAGAATTTAAAACATTTAAAAGTTTCCAAAGTACAATGACCCTGTATATAATTATCTGGTACTTCTGGGGCCAGATGCAAGGATGCATGTATTCCAACAGGTACATCTTACAGACTACTGAAGTTTTAGCATTCAGCTACAAAACAGAAAAAATTAACTGGGATAAACTTATTTCAGAAATGTCTGACAGATTTCCTAACTTCTGTTAATGTGAAATATAAATTATTAATTTCTTAATGATTCAGAAGTTATCAGGGATATCTGATATTCTAGGTGTTTAGATTCTCTGCCCTTTCCCCATTCAGATTAAGGATGTCCTGCTGTCACCAGTTATCACATCTACCTATGAATGCTTCCATCTTCCTGATCCACACTTTTTGGTGCTTTCTATTTCTAGTCAGCTGTGAAATTGCCTGTCAGTCAACTAAACTTACTCTGAACTGGAAGTTAAATAAAAGTGATAAGATGGAGAGAGCTAATGAATACACAGATTGCTTTAGTGCTAGGGATTTAAAGTGACTCTTTTCTTCCCTTTTTGGTCTAACTTCAGGAGCCAGAATTTCAAGGACCTGAATATTTTGAAACTATAACCTCCAAAAAATTAGAGTAAATATATTTTCTGAATGTTTTACCTCAAGAACTTTTGAAAAATTTATCTTTGGCATAACAACGTACTATCTTCTATCCCAAGGATACCAGTGGATCACAAAGATTTCACGGGAATCTGGGGGCCTCAGTACTTGGCTTGTAGCCTAACTTGGCTTCCCAAGTGAATGAAGCCAATACACCAACTCAATATATTCTATGTGTACTCTTTTCAGACAGGTTCCATGAGGAACAGAGGCTGGTTCTGTTTTTCTTTAGGTGACATGAAGGGAACTAACTGGCTTAGATTATATGTTGGTGTAGCTCACCATATGTATGTATGGTCACTAAAAGTTTTGTGACCATTAATATACCACTAGCTGCAGACACTTTCTCTGAATCAGGACAAAATAAGGAAAAACAAGAGATTAAAAATCAGCCATATAAGATTTCTTCAGAAGAAATCAGTCTTTTCCTTCTCTTCATCCACTCTAGTTTCCATCTAGGCCCTCTAGATGCTCCCATAAAGGAACCACCAAAGTGATACTTTTCATATCACTCATTCAACAAACATTTATTGAGTGCCTCCTATGTGCCAACTACTGTGCTAGCTGCTGGGGATACAGCAGTGAACAAGACAGAAAAGGCTCCTACCCTTAGGGAGTTTACATCCTTTTCCCCAAATATGCTGTCCTAAAATCAGCAATAGCTGTGAATTAACAACAGGAATGTGTTTCACACAATTACTGACCACCAAGAAATATTACACAATTTTAGAGCCAGAAGGGACCTTAAAGATCACCTAGTCCAATGTTCGCATTTTACAGATGAGGAATCTGAGCTCAGATGAGTTAACTGACTTTTCCAAGGTGACACAAAGAACCAAGATTAGAATTTAGATCTCTTAACTCCTAGTGTTCTTCATGGAAACCCTATGCGAGCCCAATATAACACTAAGTGAACACTCTTTGTGAGTGTCTACGAATTTGAGACACCTCTCTTTTTTTTTCTTTTGCCTTACCCCCCCCCAAAATATTTACCTCTCTTCAAAATTTTTCTAAACCTCCATCCCTTCATCTTTTCCCTCCATCTTCTTTCTTCCTGTCTTTATACCTGTCAAGTTTTAGTTCTAATTTTACTTTCCCTTTCTTTTTCACTCTTATACTTTCAGCACTATAAATAAACATACACTTTCTAAAAAAATCAAGTATCCTTTCGCTCTTTTCTAATAATCAGTATACCTTACTAAAGACTCATTAAGATTTGTTTACTTCAATCCTTCATATACATATTCTATGCTGTATTATGAAAATTTAGAACTTCAGAAATATCTTAGAGACTACAGATTACCTGAACATTAGCAAAAAACTTTTGGAGACAGAAACAAGAATGGCTATGGTTATTTATTTAGTCGACTGGCTACTGGCACACGAGTTAATTTATAGTGCTGAGAATGGAGGAAGACAGTATGACATAAACTCAAAGATCAGTGTTTACTTTTATTTTTCCTTTAACACTCTTGAATTTCATAAAACAGGTAAGTTCAATCAGTCTGAGTTGCATTTTTTTGAACGAGGTAGTTATGAAAAATAAGAGGAGTGCATCATTTTCAAACTGGATCATCAAGCTTTGAATAACTTACTAATCAAGCTATTTCAAATTCAATTAAAAACTGAATTATTTTTAAAAAAAAAATTTTTTTTTTCAACGTTTATTTATTTTTGGGACAGAGAGAGACAGAGCATGAACGGGGGAGGGGCAGAGAGAGAGGGAGACACAGAATCGGAAACAGGCTCCAGGCTCTGAGCCATCAGCCCAGAGCCCGACGCGGGGCTCGAACTCACGGACCGCGAGATCGTGACCTGGCTGAAGTCGGACGCTTAACCGACTGCGCCACCCAGGCGCCCCAAAAACTGAATTCTTTTAAAACAGAGAGAGTATCACTGAATAAGAACATACAAAGACTTATTTTTAGGAAACAAAATATACTAAATCATTAAATTTGAGTAACATGAGTCAATTACAACTGGGTGAGGTCAAAGAGGGAAAACTACTCTTTTAATGATATAATTAGAAACAATCACCAAAAAAAACCCTCTCCAAAATACTATACCAAGAAGAAGATGTGTAATCTAAAAGAAAAAGTGGGGGAAAAAAGATCTCATAAAAAATTTGGCATAAAATAACTACAACAGGTAAAAAATATTATGAGGTATAAAAGAATGAACAAAAAGTTAAAAAGTAGTTAAAAACTTTATAGTTCTGAATCAAATTTTTCTTTCAATTTGACAAATTGCTAATAAAGAATAATACAGTATTAGGAGAAATATATGAACATACTCCAAGTAGATTCCTACCTCTAATTTGGCAGGGTGCTAAACAGAGAATGAATTCAATTTTTTATTGATCATTTTTCAGAAATCCAAGAGAATATGATCTAAGAAATGTTTCTATGAATTATTTCCACTGCACAACTGGAAGAGCACATCCGTTAAGTACTTTATGGCAAAATATGCCATCCTTTATTCAATATTTTGCTAAAAACAAGTATTAATAATACAAGTTACAAGAAAAAAAACTAGTCATAGCAACCAAACCCTTGAACACTCACACTTAAATGAAGTCTCCTGAAATCTTTATTAAGGAAAGGGTAGAAAATCTATGAATTGGTGCAAGAGGGCTTAATGTGCCCCCTTTTCCATTTCCAAAGCAACTAGCTTCTCCTAGGAACTCACTGTCCTGCCCACACTAACAATGAATAACCACCTTCTAACCTCCAATTTGTCCTCATATCTTCTTACCTCCAATCTGCCCTGCACTTAGCTGATTAATCTTCCCTGCAACATAATTTTGTTATACATTTTCCTTCATTAAAATCAAACGATTTTAGAAATAGGAAAGTCTCCACAGAGATCATCCAACAAAGTTACAGATAAAGAACATTAGGAATTAAGTTACCTACCCAAGATCACAAATAATGAAGAATATAATGATTCAATTTCTTGACTCTTACTTTCAACCAATTATTTTCCACTTCTTATAGTAGTTGCTAACGCTTACATCACCTGGGGAACTTTAAAATCTGGGTCCCCTACCCAGAAATTGTCACTTAGTCTGAATCCAGGCAATTCATGGCCAGTGGGATTTTAAAAATTCTCGAGGTGTTTTTAGGGGTACAGCCAGAGTTGAGAATCACTGTCCTATAGTATTAAATCCAATCACAGTTTAGTCTTTTAAAATTCTCTGTCATGACCCAAAAGATTCTTCTAATCTTTGCTTCCCCCCACAGCTTCATTGAACAATCTTCCTTTTTTCCCTGGTCCTCTCTCCAAATCTGTCCCTGAACTTTTATTCATATCCATCTCCCAACCTAGAATACTTTCCCTTCTCTTATTCTGTTGAAGTATAGATTTTTTTTAAATGCCACAAAACAGGTGTTTACACTATACACAGTGTGCCCTGATGTATATGGGAGGGACCACTAACTCAGATATGAAAGTAAAATGGATTTGGAATCAGAAAATATTTCTGGAGGAGATAGAACATGAATTAAAATAATGAAAGAGATCTAGTCAGGTATTTGATGGTGGTGATGATGAGTCAGGTGGGTAAAAACATTGTAACAATTCAGTATGAGAAAACATAAGATGTATGAAAATGAGGACAAGTGATATATAGCGTGGAGGAGGAATGGGCTTGCTTCTGGGTACTAAGGATGTATGGAACAAGAAAGAAACATGGATGGAGTTAACTGGCTTCGCCATTCTCAACTATGAAGAAAGCTGCTGCTATATTGGAACCAGCTGAGAGTACCTGACAACATTTAGCTTACTCCTCCTCAACCTAAGTTCCC